CTGATTCAGAATGTATTGTTTTGGGGGGTACTTCCTCTGACATTTTACGATTGGACGCCTCCTTGTCCGTCTTTATGTGCAACGTGGTCATTTTCGCCGTATTTTCGTCGAAAAAAGCACTCTACCGCCCAAACGGTTCAAGATAGTGTCAAACGGACAAAATTTTCGTCCAGAGGCCTCTACTTTCACGAGTTAACCCTTAGGAGACCATAAAAAAATATTTTTTTTCTTCTTTTTGGACCAACCCCTATTTCTTTGTTACCCCCTTTCACCCCCTTAGGGATGGTTGCTAGGATTTGCACCAGGCGTTTCGTTGTCCAGGAGTGACCCCTAAGATACCCTGAAATTTTTAGACCTCTAGCTCATCTCCTTCCTCTTACACGGACGACGGACAGACGGACGGACGGACGGACGGACGGACGGACGGACGGACGGACGGACACGAGAGCGGTTTCATAAGCCCACTTTAATGCTTTTTTAAAAGCAGAAGGGCGGGCTAAAAAACAACATTTGTGAAAATGACTGCAATTGGAAAGAACTGTTACAATATAGAACTAACCTTGCTGTGAGTACTCCTATTGTGATTGTCATTGCCGGCCATAGAAGAGCATCCTTTGTTGTTCTCAGACATCGGGGAAATCTGCTCCAACGATGGATGAAGTTTCTGAAATAATATAAAAATTAATATCTTCTCAGGCTAAAAACAAGTTAATTTCAATACGTTTGAATTAGACAACTACTCCTTCTGAAGCAATTAGGCGAGGAAATGTTATATGGACAAGCGACAAATTGAAAGAAGATGGAGAGGCGGGTTAGTGATAAGGCAAAATTAGGACTCTTTTTGAACATGTCACAGAAACAGAACTCGACTTGCTTACACAGCCATTCTCCTTCAACAGCGAAGTATATTTGTCAACAAACTCCTGGAGGAATGAAAATGAAAACTGTGGCTGCGGCAAGAGCATCCGGTTCATAGTGAGGCTCAAGTTTAAGAATTCTGTGACACCCACTCGTTCAGCTATGAGAGTGGACAAAGAAGCAGGAAGAAATCAACATCAAATAATGAAGTTTTAACCTCGAAAACCCAAAACAATGGAATTTGTCCGAAAAACTTAGAGAAGTGAATGACGCTTAGGTCATGGTTGTTATGGGCACAAATTAGAAAGAAAAAACAAGTTTACGAATACTTTTCATTTCACAAATGAAGTCTAAGATATGAAATAAGTCAGAGCTAACAAGGCACAGCACAACAAAGCATGTTTTCTGTAGAGCTCCAGGAAACATGCCGTTGTTAAAGAACTGAACACCATACAAGACGTTCCAAAAAGACAAGAAAATAGAACATTCGGGAGCACACAAATAACTGTTCTGCTACAGAAAATGTCACCACACAAAAGTTCTGATTGTGTGCAGAGCAAAAGTCAAAAAAACACGTTTTGCGGCAATTCCGCCTGTCAACTAGGCAACATCTGTAGTACACACATGCAGACGGCAGGTTGCCTCGTTGGCAGGCGGAATT